TGCACAAGCTGGCACAACACGGGTTTTCTTATTCTACTCTTAGTTTTTTTGTTTCATATTTGTCCAACAGATTTTATTACGTCTCTTATAAAAACGCAGTATCAGATATGTTGGGGATTGATTCAGGGGTTCCGCAGGGTAGTAATCTGGGACCTTTGTTATTTTTGTTATTTATAAATGATTTGCCCCTGGTAATTAACTCAACCAGATGCTTACTCTTTGCGGACGATCTGAAGATATTCACAACTGTACACGACTTAACTGACTGCCGGTCCTTACAGTCTGATTTAGATAACGTATTTAATTGGTGTCGGCTCAACAAGCTCCATTTTAATGTGTCTAAATGTGAGTCAATGACGTATACATTGAGGAAGAGGCCGATAGAATTTGTATATAAAATAAATAATGTGAATTTGAGGTGTGTTGTTAAAAAGAGAGACTTGGGTGTGTTGTTTTCGCCTGGTTTATGCTTTGCTGAACATATTAAAGCCACAGCAACCACAGCTTTGCGTCTCTTAGGATTTGTCATTAGAAATGGGTACAGTTTCTCAAACTTACAGACGCTGCAATTACTGTTCAATTCTTTAGTGCGATCTAAGCTGGAATATGCGGTAATAGTATGGGATCCCGGGTCAATTCTTTATTCTAATTTAATAGAAACTATTCAAAATAAATTCATTAGGTATCTCTACTACAAAAAATTCCGTGTTTTCATTGGTTTTAGATCGTACGAATTTGCACGCAAATTATTTAAGATCACCAGGTTGTCTCTCAGAAGAAAAATTATATCACTCTGTTTTCTGTATAAAATGTTGAATAATAGTATAAATGCTCCATTAATATTAGAAAATATTGGTTTCTATGCGCCTGCATATTGTGGTAGGCTAAAGAATCTTTTCTATATTCCTCGGTTTTCAACTGAACTGAGACGAAATTCTCCTCTTATTAGAATCCTTTCACTGTACAACACACTGTCGGCTTCTTCCTTCATACCTCTGTTTGGCATTGGTATTAGATCGTTTAAACAACATTTGACACCTTTGATAAGTGCTGCAGCCACCCAGTAGCCAAACTTGATTTTTGTCATTGAATTCTGTAATTTGTGATGTAATTCTATTCATTTTTTAAAGTTTTGGTTCAATATATCCTCCGCGCGTTCTGTGATGGGTTAATTAACATTTATGCTTGATCTTGGTTGTTTTGTTATTTTTGTTGGTTATATTATGTACTAGTAGACTTAAGTTCTGAAATTTGTAATTAGGGGCAACCCTGTAATTTCGGAAGTAAAATAAATAAAATAAAATAAAATATATTCTTAGCATAACATAGCTGAGGTCGTTTTTGGCTGAGGCTCTGCACCTAATGTGTCTCAACGCAAACAACTTCTACTAAACTCAGAATGGTAGATTTTGTTAATTAAAAATGTTGGTTCAAATTTATCATTTTCAAACAGAATATAATTTATTAAATAATTTTTTAAATAGTAAATTGAGCCTTATATACACTTTTGGGAATGCAGCTTTAAAAGCGGGCATTGTTATTATTAATATTAATACCGAGGGAAAGCGGGTGATTAAAATTTTCAATTTTCAATTAAATATTCCGTTTAATCCATTTTAATTGTTACAGTTACGCCTTTACAAGGCCAAATTGATTGCGACTCGGGGTATTTTGGGTTCACATTTTTTACCCAAAACAAAGCCACAAAATAACCATTCATTATGCAGACCGGTGATGTTAAATTTGCATACAAATATTGGACTGGTCCGAAAGGCACAAATTACGATTTGAATTTCTAGCCTGCGCGTCATTACGCGCGCGTATCCGGTTGCGAATTAATGAGTGCAATACGCAATCCATCAATGCGACTAGTTATGGAAATTTGGCGCTGTTTTGATGCCCAGGAATTTTCTGCCGAACCAACCAATTCGGTTTCATGCCTGACGAAGTTTTCCGCTCTGGATATTTTCGAACAACGTGGAATATTTGATACCTAATAATCGTTTATGATGTAATAAATTCACTCTAATTTATTAGTAAATGATGATTCGAAAAAAAAATCTTTTAAGGGACATAAAATGTGTGGAGGCATGATTTATCTTGTTTGCGTATTCCCATCAAACACTAATATAACGAAATGATCCATCAGGAACCGAAGACGTGATGTCATATTAGTATTGGATAGTGACACTTTTTTTAATAAATGTGTCAATCGGATTTTTATTTATGTTTAGTCAAAAAACCGTGGTTTTGAACATTTTAATAATTGACAGGGAAAATTTATAAGACTATTATTTCTAACCAACTTGTCAATTTTGAAAGGCAGTGCTACCACACATTTTTAGTTTATGTCGCAATATTGCAAATACCAACTTTAACAAAAAAAAATGATTCTTTGTTTTTTACCATCATGTTGTTTGCATTGAAATAAATTATCCATTTTCTATTTAAATTACATAATTTATAACCACAGCTTCGATATTATTTGTTCATGACGCGAATATAATTATTTTAGAGTGTTAATAATTAAAATATAAAATTGGACTAATTGGTTGGTTGCTAATTAATAATTTCAATGTATTTATATATATAGTGATATTTCAATTAAACATCTCATTTTTACCACAAACTCTACATACTAATATAAACACACTCGAGATATAGAAGATTTAAAAGCAAATTTATCCTGTCATAGAGAACGTGGGCAAGAACTCAACTTTCCGATAAGATTTCATAGCTTCACAACATTTATAAATAACTTAATTAATTTTATCTAAAATGTTGAAAATGCGAGCGGTAATTTGTCATTATTTTATTTATTAGCATCACTTAACCTCAAAAATTCAAGGTAGAAATATATTTGTGCTTTCTATGGAAATATATTTTTGTATATTGCATTTTAAGTGAAATTCACTGTACATACAGTGTTTTAATTAATTATCGTACCCGACGTCATCATTGCAAGTATGCAACTAATATCACAGTATTTGCATTGCAATATGCGATATTGGTTGCATACTTGCAATTATGACGTCGGTACGATAATTAATTAACACACTGTATACGTTTATTGCAAAGTTTGATAAGAGTGAAGATTAATTTGTTTACCTTTTGTATTCAATAAAGATTATTTATTTATACAATACTTTTTTCCTCGCATGTACGATAAGTATAATGTTCAAATCTGGCAACACTGTTTGAAAGTCTCATAAATATACAGTAACCTCCAACCCCCTCCCTCCTCCTTTATACGACATGTTTATTAGAACAGGTTAGACGTGTTGATATCATCAATAAATTTGGAACCAGAATTATTTTAACCAGTGCCTACAGAAAAAAAAAACAAATTAAGTTATAATTTTAATTAACACACATAAGGTATGCATTTTCTTCTTTTAAAATAAAAGTAATTACCTTTTTGAAGCCTCAAAACATAATAAAACTCATTCAGAGAGGTTGTTTACAAAAGAGGCAAGGTTATAATCCCTTTGTCACATAATCCCTTTTGCGCATTGACGAATGAAATATCGATTTTTGCTGTAATACTTTAAATTTAATAATTTGATTTATTTACCTTTGTTTACACGTGTTATTATTTAACACAATTAATTATGTCGGTTTTAAACCTTTTGTAACTCTGAGTTATTAATTGTTAATATATCATTTATTTATTAAAAATAACTGATTAGCGCTGAACTACAATTCAATAAGTTTAACAATTATTTTCATGTTGTAATTAACAAATTCGTTATAAACAAATAAAAGCCCGTAATATAGTTTAGTGCGCAATGCGAGGTCCAAAAATTAAAGCCTCGTAATATCATAATACTTATACATATTAATATTTTAAATTCATACAATAAATATGAAATCAAAAACTCGCAGCTGTTTACGATGATTATTTTTACAAAACATGTTCCATCACGTTTCCGGTGTAAGTATCAATTGAGTATGCTAGCTGTAAGTTGACAGTGTCAATGTCAATTACTTCAAGACTGAGATGGAAGTTCTTGCAATTGTAAGAATAGTACATAAAGCCATATAACCTAGTATTCCGTAATGTCCATAATTTTACTTGGGGGTCATTTAATTTGGCAAACAAAACTAACCTTACACAACATTCTTGCCTTGCGCAACGTTGATAACCTTGGTCAACCATTTTAGTAAACATATTTTTTAGTTCTACCTCACCTATTTTACCTCCCACATAGTTTATAATTCCGACGATTTGCAAAACGTCCATCGACAAATAATGCAATATTAAATTTAAAAAAAAACGCAGTAATTCAAAACGCGGCTGAATTTCAGGATAAATACCGCTTCTGGTGGTTACACAATTTTATTGTAATTTTATATGCGCATGTTTATCATGATTGGAAAGGCTTGTACAACGGTTGGTTAATATTCCCGATTTCATGCAAAAACTAGGTATGTGATCAGATAGACTACCCACTTCCTATTAAGCAATATAAAATTTCAATTAAAATTTATTTTTTATAACTATAAAGATGCGTACCACATAATAATTTTTATTTAAAATACAAGTTTATTTGATTGAATTTAATTAATCCAACTTCTTCTGATAACGCCGAGGCCGACAATATGATGACCAAACTACTTTGTAAAAGCTATCTGATTTTAACGCATACGTCTTCCAAGTTTCTTTTTTGTTTTCACCATTGGGGTAGTAATGATATCCTAGTGATAAAAAAACTTATTCGAAAATTAATAGGTAGCAGTATAAAATAAAACGAATCCATCAATAAATCAATTTGATTTCAACAGTTATTTTCTTTTACGATAGAAGTCTCAATAATTTTATTACTGGCCATTAGTAACCTTGCATTTGTCGATATTTCATCCCATTCATATCCTGAGGGTAATAAATTTCGCTGTGGCGATTGTACGAATAGAAACCCTTATGTGACCGTTTGCGAGGCTTTTATTGGGATTCTGGGGGAAGATTACAGGACTAATGTGTTCCTCTTTTGTCATTTCAGAAGCCGACTATACACTGGATGACTCGTTTTGGATCGATGAAAGTCCAGCCGGTAAGTAGATACGCTATTTTAAAAATCTTCTAATAATAGGTAATGCTGGAAATAATTAATTTTATATAATGTAAAATGCTCAACATGCCGTAATCTCTATAATACGTGGATTATATATTATGTGTAAGGTAAATATTAGTGCTTAACGTAATCCTTCGAACCCTGGTCGTATCCACAAAATTAGAAAAGGGATTAGGCTCTTCTTATCCCCAGTTATAATGAAGTAGCTATAATAGTTACCTAAATAATTTGAAAATAATCATTTAGTGGATGACGATTTTGATCGAAAGAGTAATGAAGTTGGGAAAATAACTGAAAATTAAGTTATCTAGTAAACAGAGCATTTTATTAAAGGGAACTCTTTGGGAAGACAAATAAGGAAGTTTTTTAATTAGATGCAATGAAGTGATTTTTTCTCTTTTTATTCACCTACCAACTGAGGTGTACACTAAATTTTCACTCAATTAATACACATCGTTTTATTAATCAATGTGAAAAAGATTTTACTTTAAACAAAATTATTTAAACTTTAGTAGTGAGTTTACGCAATGAATATCGGCTGCTTGTGCAATTTCCAAATACAAAATCCCAGTTTGGAAACAATAGATTGGCGGACGTGGTTCGTGCTTGGTCCCGTGTCGCCATTGAAAAGGAATTAACGCCGATAAACAACAAGTATGCAGAGGGCGTTCTTCCGTGATCGTACCTGGACCCGGTGTGTTTCGATAACACCTCGGACAACACCCATAATAATCAAACAATGCTCCTACCCTAGAAATTACCCAATCATACGTCTACCATTGTAAACGTTTAACTAACAGTAACGTTAAGATAAAGTAAAGAGGTTTAGGATATTATAAACATGACAAAATGTTTAATTAAAGTTAAACAATCATACGTCAGATTTGACATACATACGTCAATGAAATTAGGTTTTTTCCTTCATATTCTTGATGCATAATTAATTTCCAAATAATACCCATTTCGTTAATTAAAATCATTTATTCTTTAAAATTCAAGACTTAACATCACTTCTTGAATTAATAATCTCTTCACTTTGATTGCAACTTGCACACTTCAAGACGAGACGGTCTTATCGATATCTCGAAAGTTGTTCGATGGGGAATTCTGAATCCGGGTTATCGCGTTCTCCCAAAGTGCGCACACCACCGGAATATTTTATCAAGACAACCGACCGCGTGCAAAGAAACCTTGAGTTTTCGGACAAAAGAAGATCGCCGGCGTTAAGGCCGGGGATTGGAGCAGATTTGCAATGTAAATTTATTTTTACATTCACCAAGCGTAAATATTATACCGATGTAAAGCGCTGGGGAAATTTTTGCATACGTTGTAATATGGATTACTCGCATGGAGATGTGGCCGGAAAATACAAACTAAGCTGTAAGGATGACGAAGTTTGAAAAAGTTGGATGTTATACATGAATCCATGACCATGCTTTATTTCCCGCGAGATAATGGCCCAATGTCGCCAGTAATCGTTTTATGGTTTTATGTACCAATTTGGCGCCCATCTGTAAGGGTTTAATCAATTTTTGGCAATCCAAAACGTTACGTCGACGTTAGTCATAAATCTGGTACGTGGTGTGCAATTTGAGTAACGAGAGGGTTTTGCGCCATATGGCCCCGTAATACGCCCAATGTAATAATACCGTGGTCAAATACTTTCACGTATACGACTGATACTTTAACTACCTATACTCCCTTCCGCACAGAATGATCCAACATTACTCAGTGTCCTCGTTATAACCCGTGATTTATTCTTTATAATATAACCAACCACGGTATCTCGAGTTATAAATTGTATATTTCATTTTACACAAAGAATTTCAAATTTTGTGTTAAATACTCTTCAATGTTAATTTGTACTGTCTATTAATTCTGTTGAATTTCTTGCATACAATTTCAATTGTAACGGAGTAACTTAGTATTGTTGAAGGTGTTTACAATATAATTTTATAAAACTGGGTGTTAGAATTCGCTTCGGTACGCTTTATTTGATGCCACAACACCACGAACCAAGTTCGTAATTGTATATTTCCCCTCGATAGCTCTGAATACTTCTCACGTCAGTCCCGTAAACTTCAGTACCGGGCGTTCGAATCCGTTTTCGTTGGGCAGAATGGCGCAACATTCACGCTCCGCTTGAAACGTTACAGGTGGCAAACCGAAACTTCCCCAAATAGGATTTAATTTCAATCGCTCCCGTAACTCAACTCTCGCCTCGTTTCGACGGTTTCCAGTTATTATTTCCAACGATGATTTTGTATCTTCATTCGTTCTGCAACGAAGACGACGATGCTTTATTTGGTACAGAAGGAAAACGGGGTCGTTTTTCGACTTGAGCGGCAGTTAGTATTTGCTCCTCAAATGAATTGAATGCGCTATGGTAAAACATCGGTTAAATGAACTGAACGCCAACGACAGGGCGTCGTCTTCGCCGGTACGGAGTCGGTAATTTTCTTGTAAAGAGCTCGTTAGGTATCAAAGGGAGAGCGACTCCTTTCCAGGCTACGACATTCCGGTCCTCTTCAACGTGTCCCCAATCTTCCATTTGGGAACTCTTTTTTCGGTAGACTCGTTCGGAAACTTCTACTGAATTTATCGCCCCTATACACAAAGTTTTTATAGGACTCTGTAATATGCCCGTTAGCCCTGAAGTAATAGACTTGACGGCATGTTTCTTTCGTAAAGATTTCCTCTTAATGATCCACCCGTACTCTTATTTGTAAGATACCACAGAAAGTATTTTATATAATTTTATTACATGGAAAATTCCAAATGGGTAACCATCAATCACCCGTTTTTATCATGACCTTTTCTCAATTTGACTGTAATGAAAATGTAGGTTCTTTGAACGCGCCGTTAGCAAGATCGATACACACTTCTTAATTGCAATTAATTAGTGCGAGCACGCTCAAGTGGTGTCAGCTTAAGTGGTTTGTAGTGGCTGCTTCCCTTGTAATTCCGAACCGGCCATTAATCCTCCTTAAATGGTGAATAATTACCGTTTGCTAGCCAAGAATACTACACTCCTGCTCTTTGTAACGGGACCATCACAGCTTCAAACCCTTACACAATACACCACGTGCAGTCGTATCTTCGAATGGTGGCGCGACGACTACTACCGTCGATATTTCAGCTTTAGTACCCATTAAGATAAAGAACACCATCGAACACTGAAAGGAAAATTAAAATTTCATCATTTGATTTCTTTTTGCATATGTGTGGTTATTTAATTGTTAACATTTATTTTTAAAGAGATTTCTAATATATTGTATTATTTTGTTTTGTTCGATTAATAATTATTTATGCAAACCAATTTTTACAAATTAATTTAAAAAAATACATTTTTAAATTAAAGAACATGAATCTCAGGGAAAGAAAAATAAATCGCAAGTTCGTGGAGACATCTATTAACTAAATTTTTAAATTTGCGAACTAAACATAAAAACGAGCCTAAATAAACACGTCTGTGCAAGAAAGAGGTAACCCGTTTAGAAGAGTGTTGTCGTAGACAAAGCTCATACGCGTTAATTTTATGAGTGTCTTTTAAGATTGATTTTTAACCGCGATGGTTATAAAAATTAAAGAGTTCTGAAGAAACTGAATGGTTTAAACGAGAAACAGGTATACGATTAAGTTCAAGTTAGTAACGTTTGGTTACCGATAAAAGGAAATATGTTCACTTATCTCGTTTCTTTCCGGAGGTGTGAAATGTCAGTTAAAAATGGCTGGCTGACCTTGATCTTGAGGGATGGAACAGGATAGAAGCTTGGACTCGAACTCAGGTATGGTTTCGATTTCTTCGAAGATAATTCAGAAATACTTGTTTACTTTTACTTGATAAAAAAAATTGAGTTGTCAAAAAAATTCTAAGTTCAGACTTAGGTTAGAAAATTTAAGGTTAATTTGACGTAGATTCGACAACGCTTGGCTCTAGCTAAATTTGAACTCTCTCCGGTGTCAATTTGCGCGGCCTTATATACCCTTTTTGGACAAAGGCATCTTGGATATCCAAATTTGATCCTCTCAATTTGAATCTGGGCTCTCTGATTGGTTGATTAAGTGGCGGGAATTATAAATTACACAGGTTAGCCAAAATAATTAATTTTTTTAAAGAAAATAACTGTCAATTTTGAAAATATTCGAAATTATTAATAAACTTTAAATTTAATTACGATTCTGTAATTTTATAGCTAATTTTTCGTTTTTTTTAGATAAACGCGCTTTCGGGTGTCTATTTCCTTCGAGAAAGTCGTAATTTGATGTTGAAGTTTGGGAATGAAAAATTGGAATTTAAATATATAAAATGATACAGAAATGGATGAAATTGCAGCCTATGGGCTAAATCAATACAATCTATCGATCTTGCATGTTTTTAGAATCTAAAATCGTCTGAAAAGTCGCCAAAATCAATACCTGTCAAAAAATGTAAATGTCAAGGTCAAATTGAAGGTCATGGATATTCAAGGAATTACGTCTTTCTTGCACATCGTCCTAATTTTTCTTAAATCTAAACGAAAATCATAACAAAACGTAACTACTTAGCCTAATCTATAATACTAAAGATCTTAAATTTAATTGACACAATCAATTTCGATAACCCTCATTCGTTGATATGCTGTGGAGTTATTTGCTAGAAGTAAATTTGAATTGAATGTCGGGAATATTATTAAGATTCATTAACTTATCCTTCATCTTAATTAACTCATCCAATCTTTTGAAAAACTTTTGACGGGGTTGGAAAAAGGTTAGTGGTTTAAGTTAATTCTGTTATAACTTTATCAGTTCTGACCCAAACAAGATGAAAATTTTTTACAATATCTAAAATGTTAGGGAGATGTTAATTTCTACATACATATATGGATGATATGATTAATTTTCAATTTAATATTGTAATAAAGCTTCCGAGACAGGTTACCTAAAAGAGAGAGAGAGACATAACCTCAATTCTTTTGACATTTAATTTTTAGTTGCCC